GGCGCTGTACTGATTCAGTACGATGACAAAAGGACCCCGCATCATTGCCTTTGGAAACAAGAGCCTGACAGACATTGAAAAACGATATTGTCAGACCGAAAAAGAGGCATTGGCTTTAGTGTGGGTAATTGAACATTTTCACATGTACTTATATGGGAAAAAGTTTGAGCTTATCACAGATCATAAGCCTCTGGTGGTTATATTTGACACGCGATCAAAATCTTGTGCGAGAATCGAGCGCTGGGTTCTTCGGTTGCAAGCATATGATTATAAAGTTATATATAAGCCCGGAAAATCCAATATAGCGGATCCATTATCACGTCTGTGTAAGAGCAGCACTCAAAAAAGTTCTTTTGAAGGCGAACATCATGTTAACCAGATTGTTCAATACGCGTGACCCATAGCACTATCTCTTAAATCGATTATCGAAGCATCAAATGATGATGATGAGTTTAAATTAGTAAGGGATGCTTTGATAAATAATGCGTGGGATGCTTCAATAAATAATTATAAAATATTTCAACATGGCTCTGGTTACACGATGGCGTCTTGTTGAGAGGTAACAAAATGATGAGTCCTACTAAGTTGCGGAAACAAGTTTTAGCAGCGGCCCAAGAAGGTCATCCAGGTATAGTCAATATGAAAATTAGGCTGCGCACAAAAGTTTGGTGGCCAAAAATAGACAAAGACGCCGAAAATACAGTAAAAAGCTGCAGAGGGTGTACTTTAGTCTCAGCACCCAATCCACCAGTACATATGAAAAGGCGTAAACTCCCTTCGAAAGCCTGGGTGGATACAGCCGTTGATTTTTTGGGTCCACTGCCAAGTGGGGATCATCTTTTAGTGATTATTGACTATTACAGTCGATATAAAGAGATTGAAATCATGAAATCTATTTCAACACAAGACACAATAAAAGTGTTAAAAATTTTTTTTTCACGAACCGGAAATCCCGCTAGTATTACAGCCGACAATGGCAGACAATTCAGTTAGGAATTTAAAACATTCTGTACTGAACAAGGAATTACGCTTTTTAATACGATCCCTTACCGGCCTCAGCAAAATGGTGAGGTAGTGAGGCAAAACAGGGACATCCTTAAGCGACTGCGAATCAGTCAATGCGAGAAATCAGACTGAAAAGATGATTTGTTAAATTACCTAATGATGTATAACAGTACCCCTCATCCCTCCACTGAAAAATCTCCATCCGAGCTGTTCTATGGAAGACAATTCAGAGACAAACTACCTTTTTTTAACAGATCTCGAAAATAGTTACGATGATCAAGAAATAAGAGACCAAGACAAAGAAAGAAAAGAGAAAAGCAAATTAAACGAAGACAGGAAAAAAAGAGCTGCTGATAGGGAACTAGAAATAGGAGATAAAGTGTACGTGAAGAACATGATAAAAGAAAATAAATTAGTTTCCGAATTTAACCCAACCCCCCATACCGTTATTAGTTCTGAAGGAATCATCATTCTCTAAAATTTTATTATCTGGGGTGCGAGTTATTTCTGAGAGTGATATAAATATTAAGAATGATACACTGGTCAGGAGTATAGGAGAAATATCGTACACCTTAAGAAAGTCGAAGGTTAATGGAAAGTTATTGATCATGATAACGAAGTTCAGATTGATGATTGATTAATGTCTAAAACATTGTTTTGTTTGTTTATCGTATTAATAAAATTAATTAATATATAAAAAGGAAGAGATGTGATATATGTATAATTAAATATAGTACACAGACAGAACGGTGGTGCCTCACTCGTATTGTCGATCTGTCATCGGTGGCGAGTGGACGTTGTCGTTGTGCTGTGTACCTACTTACTGATATAGATGTTTTACTAAAATCCTAAACTTAAATTAGTGGACACCACAATATACTTTTTAATTTTATTTATTTCTAACTCACTTGAAAATAGTTCCACTTTATGTGATTTTAAGTACTTTGCTACATTTATACTTTTAATAGAAAAAAATAGATATTTTCAGTTAAAAAAATCATGAAATTACATCTTTTTAAGCCCTTCAAATAAGAAAATTAAAGCATTTATAAAAAAAAGTGACCAGATCAGATTATTGTAGACAACATGTAAATAAATGTGATCTGAATATTTTTCTTGATATTGTTATAGTTTGTACATAGCAGAGGCTTTAATAAGACCTTTTACGCATGTAACCTAAACATAGGCATGTTTAACGCCTAATAGAGCTATTAATTTAAACACCAAAATAAAATTAAAATACAGTTTCGAATATATCAAATCCTACACTTTAAATAAATGTAAAATATGTTTCACTTTTTCTTTTTTAAATACTATAAAAAAAATTTGTTTTGCTGTAAATTTTGCGAGAACACTAATTTTTACAAGACCGGGACCTTAAACCAAATTAAACAAAAAAAAACCGGCCAAGAGCGTGTCGGGCCACGCTCAGTGTAGGGTTCCGTAGTTTCCCGTCCGTCACAATAAGTGTTCCCACTTATGAGTTTAAAAGTGGGTATCCATTATGTTCGCGCTCCAGCAGCGCTCCGCGCTCCTGCAACTGCTCCCGGTAGTGGGTACTGTTGTTTCCATCCAAGTTCAAAATGATTTTCCTAGAAAGTTCTTATAAAGTTCTACTTTTCAGATTTTTTTCATATTTTCTAAACTTATGGTTCAAAAGTTAGAGGGGGGGGGGGACACATTGTTTTTTAGTTTTGGAGCGATTATTTCCGAAATTATTGACATTATCAAAAAATGATTTTAGTAAACCCTTATTCATTTTTAAATACCTTTCCAACAATATATCACATGTTAGGGTTGAAATGAAAAAAAAAACACTTCCCACTTTACATATAGGGGGGCTACCCTAATAAAACATTTTTTCCAATTTTTATTTTACCACTTTGTCGCCGTGATTGATACACATATTGGTACCAAATTTCAGCTTTCTAGTGCTAACGGTCACAGAGATTAAGCGAGGACGGACAGACACAGACAGACATGGCGAAACTATAAGGGTTCCTAGTTGACTACGGAACCCTAAAAGTAGTTAATTAGCAATAATATATTTATTTTTTAATGTAAATTTTAAAACAAACAAGTTTGGTGTTCTCCAATTTTCAGAGCACAGGTATTGGCTCACTGTAAAGCAATGATTTTGATCTTAACTAATGCAGCTTAAAAAAGCTAATACTCATTGTTTTGGAAAGGCTGGTAAAAACAAAGAACCTATCTTTAGAAAAATATACCAGGGGGTCCCATAATGAACTGGCCTGATATAGTTCAACATGACATGTCGCTACATGTTGTGTTGCATTAAATAGTACGTTTATCGTGCACTTAATATAAGAAACATGCATTTGAATAACGAGAGTCGCGTATTTTTTCAAAATGTCGAAAACTGACTATCGAAGTGTCATAAAGTTTCTGTTTAAAGAAGGTTTATCCCCTGCCCAAATAAAAGAACGATTGGATGGCGTGTATAAGGAGTCTGCCCCCCTCCTAAAGTACAGTGAAAAATTGGGTGAAAGTTTCGCCTCGGGAGAGAAACCGTCGAAGACTTTGGCCACGACGGTCGACCTGTGGAAGTGCTCACTCCCGAAACGATTGCTCTTATCGAAGAGGAGGTTCTGAGTGACCGCCGTTTGAAGATTAGAGAAATTGCAGCAAGGCTTGGGCTCTCTAAGAGTACCATTCATCGCATGATCCATGAACATCTTCACATGAAAAAAGTGAGTGCAAGATGGGTACCGAAACTTCTTTCAGTATTCATCACAATATTTTGGGATTTTCAAGGCATTTTGATGGTGGATTTTAAAGAACGTAATACAGTCGTGAATGGTGAATATTATGCTTCTTTAATATATAAATTACAAGACAAGATAAAGGAAAAACGAAGAGGCAAGCTGTCTAAAGGTGTCCTGTTGCTCCATGACAACGCCCCTGTTCATACCGCTGGTGTTTCAAAGGATGCAGTTCGTCAATGCGGGTTCACAGAAGTTCAACATCCACCTTACAGTCCAGCCATGGCCCCGTCCGACTATTATTTATTTCCAAATTTAAAGTGGGACTTAAGAGGAAGAAAATTTTCAAGCGATGAAGAGTTGCAGGCGGCCGTCTTCAGTAATTTTGAGGATAAAAAATGTGATTATTTTTATAAAGGTTTAGAGATGTTGATTCACAGATGTCAGAAGTGTGTTAGTATTCATGGTGATTATATTGAAAAATAAAATTGGTTTCGTTTCATTTCCTTCATTGGTTCATAGTTAGGCCAATTCATTATGGGACCGCCTACGTATATTAAGATAAAGAAGATATAAACCACTTCAACAAAATCTTTTTAACTGCAACAGCAAAGGAATAAAAAGATCACTTTGAATTATACATGAAAATATAGCATATATATATATATATATATATATATATATATATATATATATATATATATATATATATATATATATATATATATATATCCCATAACTGAAAACAGGTCTCACAAATCAATACCGAGTAGGAGGCACCTGTGTTACTCTGACATGAGAAAGGTTTACTGAAGTATTTTACAACATAGAGTTTCAATTTACATAGCATGAAAAATTTCAATTATCCACAGACTTATACTGATAAGGCATTGAATGTTTTTAAGTGCTTGTTAGTGTTGCAGTTTTATAGTAGGTAATTAAAAAAGGTAAAAACAATAAGTTAAACAAAAATTTCTTAATTTATAGACAAGCCAATTAAGAAATTACCCTGCTATGAAGCTTTAAGCAAAAATTTTGTGTTACCGATCTAAAATATTCAATATGTTTTTGAATATTTTAGATAGGTAACACAAAATTTGTGACCTTCATATTTTTCTAATGATATTGAAATATTACAGTAGTTTAAGATCTCTATCTTAACATAATCTAAGTATTTATCAATACGAAATTGTTGACGTGGAATATTACTTAAGTGTTTGGTGAGTGTGGGGCACAATGATGAATAATTGGACATCTGTTAAAAATTCTTACCAGCGAAATAAGCCGCCGCATCGCCAATTCATGATTCCACAGACACTCGCACGGGTCCATGTCATCTGCCATTTCTGCGTAAATAGAACGTTATGATACAATCAGTTTTCTTCTTTGTTTCGACGCAAAATTATTTAAACGTTCCATTATTTTGAAAGGAATAATGTGTCTTGGCTTAGGAATGTTGTTGATGAACAAGAGCTAAATATAAATTCTTTCCTTATTTCCTTTGTTTTTATTTACAAATGTAAAAAAACATTAGGTATCTAAGATCATCTGTCACAGGAAGAGAAAGTGATAGAGATTTTCAAAACTTGCGTACCTGTAAAGAGTTTCCCAATAAAATAAGAAATTCGCTAATACTAATTGTCAATTAGTATATTAAAGCGAATACGCCCACAGTTAATTAATAAAATAAACCAAAAATATTTAACAACTATCCTACACCCGCGACGACATTTTTTTATACAATGCCCTGCACAGAGTAGTACATAACATACTGTTTGTAAGAGCTTACCAGCTTACAACAGAGTACTTTCTAAGTACCGCAATATGACTATTATCGATATGCTTATCGATATTAAATAGATTTATTAACACTGAAGTGACAAACGAAAATGAACTTTTTTTGACGTGGTAAAGCCATGCTGCAGTTATATTAGTAGTATAGTTGTAGCACGAATGGGTCGGTTCGACCGGGGAAGGACCACGCTCTCACAGAATACCAGTGTAAAATAGTAGCTTAATGCTGCTGTGTTTCGTACGGAGAGTGTAAAGTTTACTGAAAACGAGGCATTCCATCTTAGTCCTCACTGGTGTCAACGCATCTGCATTTTAATTCGTAATCGAGGATAGATATAGATGTCTACGGACCACAGCAACCACTTACCATCAAGTGGACTGTGTGCTCGTTTGCCACCCTATCCTATATAAAAAAAATTCAAACCATCTGATGCTAAGTGGCTATTATAGCCTGTAGAAATTTATGTACATATTTCTACATTAATATGAATATAATTTACTTATTCCTCGGTGCTATGAATCTTTTTACGGCTAACTCAATATATAAAGATTCCGTATCACGATGTTCGATCACGTAAATCACTTCACGTTAATGAATTTTCTTAAGCCGCAATATAATAATGATAGATTGTAGAGCATTCTATCTTAATTATCTAAGATTTTTTTAAATTTATACGAAAGTTGATTACTGTAACAGTTTCCCAGTCCAAAAAATAGACACAATAGTTAAACAATCGAAAAGTTCATATATGATATAGGAGATAGGGAAAGGCTTAATTTACAGGATGATAAGACTCCTCTTCCGCCCAGATGTCCGTCAAGGTATGTACCAGGTTTTGCACACTCTTTACCATTTATTTGTGACCCAGCAGTACTTGTACTGCAGTGTTCCGGTCTGATTGGTTCCGGTTAAGATAGCCAGTAAAATTACAGACTGAGGCATTCTGTGTCCTATAATGCCATATTAGTTCTCAGAGGTGACAAAGTATCCAAAGTTTTCTTTCTTTGTATATGGTTTAAGGTGTACGGACTGCTGTGTCTATTGACGGTCAGATGGACTGTAAGTTTATGTGATAAATTTCAGTTTTATAAAAAACTTATATATAACTCCAACTGTCATATTAAATCGATAATATTGACTTAACACAGATATATCGATTACCAGTAAATATATAATCGATATAAAAATAATGCCTATAGTTATTGTATGCTTGGAGTTTTGTGATTGGTTGTTTTAAGGTTTAAGGCACCTTTGTAAAGCAATGAATTTCATGAGAGAGATTTTTTTCTGGTATAGTTTGGCAATGGCTACATGGTATTTAGCCAGTGACGACCATTCTTATTAAGGCTCCATTACACGTTGGCCGAACGCGCTCGCTGAGCACCCTCGGCAGATTTTCGCGGTGCTGTTCACACGTTGGCGTGTTTCATTCTGCGTTGGTAGCTAGATGAAGATGGATCTTAAGGCGATCGAAAAAAAAACTAGGCGTATAACAATAATCCCGGTTAGTCCTTTTTAGGGTTCCGACCTCAAAAGGAAAAAAACCATTATAGGATCTACTAGCTGACCCGTGCCCGCCTCGCTGGGCGTATTTTAAAAATAAAAGATAGCTTAAAACTAGCCTCTAAGCTACATTATCCCTGAGCAACATAAACTCAGAGATAATTTATAATAATAATTATCATAAGATAGGTACTCTGAAATCGCAACTAAACATGTATTATTTAATGCAGTTAAGCAAGTTACTACCTCTGGTTTTCTACTAACTTTGGTTTGGGGTTCCATATAACTGATTCATTGTGATAATAATCAATGAAACTAAATATTTCCTCATTAGTTCATGTCGCCATATTCGTAAAACAATTTTATTAACACTACAGGCTGCTCCGATGCGTAACTATGAACTGAACACTCGGCCAACGTGTGACGGCTGTTTGCGGCTTGCGCCAAATTTCTTTGACTTGTGCACGTAAAACCCACACTATTTGGCTTGTCGGCGAGTGTTGGCCGCAAACGCTAAATACACAAAACGGCCCAGTATACGTTGGTCAAACGCACTCGGCGAGCGCATTCGGTCAACATGTACTGCTACCATTAGAATAGGGATGAAAGCACAAATTAATAAAAATTGGAGTATAGTCACCATCCTATGTCTAAATGATGGAGTGACCATAATTTAAGTTAGTTAATGTTGTTAGCTTAGAATTAGAATATACTGATGACAGCCCAAAAACGTGTCACCATTGTGTGCCTTATCTAGTGATGATATTTTACCTATAAGGACTTTCGATAAATGAATGCAGTGTGTCCACAATACTGCAATCCACGACTTTTTCTGCCACCAGGGCGGCGCCACTTAAAAATAAAGTGTAATATTCAACGGATTACATAGTGGAAAATTAATTTCCGTGAAAAATGTAAAGGTAAATGTTTTTTCTGTATTATTAGTTATATTTTATATTATTTAATATTAAAAATAAATAAACAAAACCACAAATATACATAAAGGTAGAAAAATATAAAAGCAAGTAACTAATTTTTTCTTTTCCATGTCCAGGGGTTCTGATTCTACTGAGAAGAATCATGGAAGAAAGTAAGAAACTCAGCAGTTGCTCTTTTCAAAATATTTTTACAATAGTTCTGTAATTATGTAAAGCGATAAGTCAAACATAAAATGTCAAATGTATATGTAGATACCAAATCGGTTTAGAAATTTCTAGTTAGTCCTATGTAGTACGAGAGGTCAGTTCCAAGCATTTTTGTCTGACTTAAATTGAAAAGGTGAAAGATCTAACATTTCTTTTGGAATCTTATTATAAAAGCGTATATCGCTACCCAAGAACGCATTATATACTTTGTGTAACCGGAAAGCAGGTATTGTGATTTTATTTTTATTTCTACTAATAAAATTGTGCAAATCACTATTATTTACATCAATTCGATGCAATCAATTTCTTTAAACGGTTCTCTAAGAGATACTCGGGCTCCTAAAAAGTACATAGATCTTATTTTACGCTTTTTATTTAATATGCACACTTTTTATATTATTCGTTTAGCATTGTAGAAAATGTTTTCACGTTTCAAGTGTGTTAAAAGTGTCTACAATATTTATCAAAAGGGTGACGACATTTTTCGAACACTTTGTGTTCAAAAACACACACTTCCAAAAATCGAGATTTGCAGTGAACTAATTGAACATGTTTATCTATTAGATAATAATAATAATAGTAAGTAATTATTATAAACCCATATAGTTAATATTATAATAATTTAAATTATTATGGTATCTACCTATCCTTACCATTATCTATGTACAGTATTCCTTGCGAGATCAGCATAATGTATTCGTGTCCATTCTGAGCACCCGGAAACTTATTTTATTCTTTGGAATATGTACTCTGTGGCGGCATTCAAACAGTGTCAAATGTAGTGCGTGCGGCGCGGCGGCGACGATTGAATGCGATATCAATAGAAGCCGCCGGCGCGTATATCTTGACCTTGTACTTCCGAATAGCTGCAAAATTTCTTTGACACATCAGTATTCGACCTTTGATTATGCCGACAACAAGACGCCGCGCACTATCAAAGTGCCGATGGTCACAACTAGATGACTGTTTTTTTTTAATGGATATTTTCATCCGCTATGTATGTTTATGGTATTGTTCGTAATGCGCATAAGTCCAATTTTCCAATTTTTTTTTAATATATTTTTTGCGTCTCATCCCTAAGCGTATACCCGAACTCCTATACTCCCTGAAACGACACTCATTCCTAACTGCAAGACGCAAGAGTCTCGCAGGCTTAGTCTTGTTCTTGCTCAAATCTTGCACGGTCAGTCTTGGTCTTGGTCTTGCTAAAATTAGGCGGTCTTGTTCTTGGTCTTGGTCTTGCAAAAATGCAAGAACAAGACCAAGATTGCAAGACCAAGACCGATTTTGGGCAACACTACTCATCTGCAGTTCCCCTGATGTTGCAGTTGTTCATGGGTAGCGGTAATTGCTTACCATCAGGTGAGCCGTATACTCGTTTGCCCCCTCTCCTATAAAGAAAAGGAATAAGTGTGAAGGAAGGAGCGATCGTCTCTGTGAGGAGTTTTATGCACGTAACGTGTTGTGGAAGCAATCCTACCGCAATTAGAAGCCTGGATACAGAGACGTGCAGGAAGACACCTACAGATTTACACAGATAATTACTGGATAATTGATGTCATTTCTGGCCAGCAATAAATCAACGAGTACGGCTGTATCTCGCCTATAAAAGCGATGCGGGCTACGGTAGTACCTATAGATACTGGCAGTTAGCTCCGAGTTATATGATTCGACCAATTCTCGAATTTTATTATTATTACTTATATTGTTTTTTAGATCAACAAATTTTAAATTAAAATTTTATTTGACTCAATTACCGTGCCTTACGTATACTTATTACTGTTCAATTATCGATTTCATTTATATAGTTTACTACTAGCTTGATATGAATAAAGCAGTAACTTGTTCTTTATAAAACTGGCATACCTATGTTACCATGCTAATTGTTTGTTAAAACATCGACTTTGTAGCTTATAAG